GCTGGCTTGCAGGCACAAGGCAACGTTGGTGGGGAAGGAAGACACCTTCTCCACTGACTGCAATTTTTAATCTCAGTTTTCCCCCTTGCAATAAAGAAAACATCCTTCTCCAGCTCTTTCCTCATACACACAGCCTTTGTTCTGACGCTGCAGAATTGCAGGGCTGGGGGAAGAAAGTCCCAGTGTTATCTTGGCTTTGCGTTATTTATGAAGTGCTATAAAGCCAGGGAGGAAACATTTAGATTGCCAACATGGGGGTGGGGGGGGTGGGGAAGGATTTCTGTTCTCTAATTTCTCTCTTTCAAGTTTACAAGGAGCAGTGAACTGCACCTGCAGCCTGAGCCATCCAGGGATGTCTTTCTCCTGTCCTCCTGAAGACCTTCACAGGGGGTTTCCTGCCTGCCCCCTTAGACCTGATGGACTAGCTGAGGAAGGGCAGAGTTCATGGAATCCATTCCATTGACTGTTGTACAAGGACTCCACTTTGCAGTACAAATGAACTATAGAGGAGCAGAGGAGAGATTTAGGCCTTCCATCGTGCCAGTTCCTTCTTCCTGAGTGTCCGTACATGGGGGCACATGGAAATTCTTTCTAGACTTAGTTCCTCTAGCTGATCTGGAAAGGCTGTTTATCAGAGCACTGGCTTTTACCAGACTTATTTTGATCTGTATTTTGAGACTTGATCTCGGTCCTTTCTCCTGTGTTCCTACAACCCACCCGTCTAGTCATTACTGCACCCCTACCTTGGAGATGTAGCAAATGTTCTAGACCAGTGGAACAGGAGTGTAGGCTTGGTGACATTTCTCCAAAAATATGGCACCTACTTCTCTCATGCCCACTGCTGGGTTGCTCCTGTGGACTAAGTGTGAGCCACTGAGGCTCTGTCTGCAGGCCCTACCCGATGCTGCATACCAGGCCAGTTGCGTCTCAAGGAGTTGATAGCTGCTCCCCTTGGGGGAGCTCCTGACCCCCAGGAAGGCACTTCTGGAGGGTGTGGGAGCAGCAGCAACCTGCTCTAGAGGTGGAATGGTAGGGTTGATGGGAAGGTCCACCTTGAACTGTGCCAAACAGCCTCTAAATCCCTCCAGGCAACCTGTGATGGCCAAAGCAAGTCAACTTCCCTACTAGCAGCATTGTTTGGCCTGCCATAGTAACCTTGAGAAAAGGCAGATAAAAGGAGAGCCACGAAAAGCTTTATCCCATTCTGCAAGGGATGAAAAACGATCTTAGCACTGGTTGCCACAGTACTAACTGTTGAATTTAAATGACATTTTAATTGCTATTATCATAAACTGGATGAGCTTTCACACTGGTAGGTGAAATGTGAAAACTATGTTTAATTTCCTTCAGTGTCTTTCCATGGACTTGATACTTTTGAAAGCAAGAATACAATCCAATGTCAATAGGAAACTACCACGCTACTGTCTGACTTGAAGCCTCTCCTTCATACATTGGTTTGAGGATACAAGGCCTATTCATGATGCAACTGTTGGGGAGGCATTAAAGAGAACAGTAACAATGCTTTCCTTAGAAAATGTAGAGAAGCAAAAAGAAAATTAAAATCACTAATGATCCTTGCACAAGGGGCAGAGGTGGCAGTGGGGTTTTTTTCTCTTTCAGGCCCTGGAACTTCTCATGAGATCATTCATACCATAAGAAAAAGTCTTTAAAAACAGTCCCACCTTGGGGCTGGGGAGATGGCTCAGTCAGTAAAGTGCTTGTCATATAATCATGAGGACCCACAGCTCAGTGGCTAGAAATCTAGCCAATTGATAAGCTGTAGGCTCAATGAGAGACCCTGTCACCAAATAAATAAAAACGTGGAGAGCTATTAAGAAAGGACACTGTTGTTGCCTTTGGGTGTAGGCACCCTCTCCCAGAGTCTCCACCCTCATCCATATCTCCTGAAGAGGCTCAGCCCACATGTAAACAAGGCAGACATATAAACAGAGTGACTGGCTGAAGACACAGTGCCTTATGGCTACATTTTCTGCTTCATACAACATGGCCAAGGTTTTCATTAATGAAATGGGATAGGTGTGCTGGGAGACTGAGTAGATGGAATTTGAAATTGGTGATGCTCATCCCCAATCCATCAATCAATCAATCAATCAATCAATCAATCAATCAATCAATCAGACATTGGTTAGGTTATATGGCAGGCTAAATCCTTCTCTGACTTCAGTCCCATTGAGGAAATGAAATCCAAGAAGGCCCTCTCAGAGCTATGGTCTCTGCTAGCTGAGTGTGTTTGCTTGGCACCTTTTGTACCTAAGCTATTCTGGATAATCCATCTCCCTGCATTTTGTGCCTAATCTGTTCTGAGGTAGCTCAACTTCCTCCAAGACAGAGGACTGACTTCACAAATTGGTTGCTCTGAAAAACAACTTCTAGAACTCAGTGGCCCTTCCTGTATTCTGGTTTCGCCAAGTCACTTTCTATTGCCATGTAAGAAACATAAGAAGAGGAGCTAATAACTACGGTTAACAAAGTTTACTCTTCATTTAATCTGTCAAGTGAGTGCAGAGGTATGTAACTAATATTCCTTGTCACCAAGTCTGACTGAATTCTAGATAATGATAGCCCAGGGGCTAAGTAATCTCATATGAAGGTGACGGGCTCCCCAGCCCTTGTGAATGTTATTTCAGGAGATGTGCTTTTCAGGTTCTTTGCTTTAAGGCTGGAACTTGCTGAACTGAATACTTTACAAGAGAGGACAGTGGTTTGTGGCTAAGCCCCCTTCTCTGCAACTGTGGGTAGCAGACAGCCATAGGCAGATGTGCGTGGATGGACCCTTGATTGTCCTGCTGCTCTCTCATGCGGGATCTCTAGCGTAAGCTAGATCTTGCTCCTGAATGAGGAGGTATGATGTTATCATACCCTTAATTATGCCAGGTACTCAGGATGACTTGGGACATGAAGATGATAATAGCAAAGACCCATTAGAAATGCTCTTATTCTCACAATCCCGATACTTACTCATTAAACAAACACAGGGAGGCATGTGTATGTGATGTTTGTGTGGGTGCCCAAAGGAAGCCAAGAGGGTGTCAGAGCCCTGGGAGCTGGAGTTACAGGTGGTTGTAAGCTGCTCAGCATGGGTGCTGGGAGCTGAACTCAGGTCCTCTGCAAAAGCAGTATATACTTTAACTGTGGAGCCATCTCCCTAGTCCCTATTTATTTCTTTTTGAATTAATTTATTATTATTTTTGTGCAAGCATATGATGTGTGATTGCAGGTATACATGTGCCACCCTGCTCATGTGGAGGTCAGAAGACAAATTTATGAAGTCAATTCTTTCCTTCTGCCTTTGCATGGGTTCTGGGGATTGAACTCTGGTCATCAGGCTTGTATCTCAAGTGCTTTAACTCACTGAGCTATCTCACCTGCCCAGACATGTAAGATCATCAAATCCCTGGTCTCGTGGAGGGAAGACCTCTCTTAACTAGATACAACCAAGGGAATGGTCTTCCACTTCACAATGAAACAATGAAAAAACTGGTCCATAAACAATGGCTTTTACATGCGTTGGTGGTCCTACAATAAATGAGTAACACATGAACACATGTCATTCATCTACACAGGGCACAGCAGCCGCTAATGGGCTGCTGGACACATTTTACAGGTGAGGAAACTGAGGTACACACTCAAGCTTCCACAGTGAATGAATACAAAAGTCAGGAGTGACTCAAGACTCAAGCCTTACTTAGTACCACCTTAAGTTTCTCTATGTTTCTTTTTCAACTAGTTGTGGAGAGAAGTCGAACTCAGCACAGTCTATCCTTCCAGCCAAATCCCCTGGATCTTTGCCTTCAGGAACCTTGCCACTACTACGAAACCAAGAAGGACACAGATTGTATTTAGGAGGCCAAATCTTTGGCTGAGACTTAAAGCCCAAATCTACCCCTCTGGCTTCACTGCTTACATTTGAGCTAATGGGGTTTCTTGTCCCTTCCTGGGTGGCTTCCAGGCAGCTCCATCTTATACCTTCATAAAGAACCTCTGGGATGGCAGCAATTCCCAAGGCCCTCCACCCCCTCTCAGGAAGATAGGATCTGGACTCTCTACTTGGCTCTATAGCGGCTCAGACATCCACTTCCATTTTATATAAATGACTTATTTCCTACCTGTAATGCTCCTACCACTAAGCTGGTGCCTCTGCTGACAAAATCAGGTCCATTTATGGTTTCTAGAAATCAGTGAAGTTAAGGACATGCTACACCATTAACAGCACCCCATTCTCATCACTCCCCAAAACTTCATGCACCTTCCAGGTTCTCTCCCAAATTCTAAATCATATACACATTCAAAACTGAGCACATGATCTTGTAAAACACATGCCAGGTCAGTGGAAGACAGTGTTGTATAAGTGGTCCCAAGGTAGAGACCTAAAAGCTGTACTCTCCAATGGACAAGATGCCCAGCAAGGACCTGGCAAGCTTATAGAGGACCCCTGTCATGAGTGTACACTGGGCCCCACTGTGGGGGCAGTCAAGGGCCCCCAGTGGTTGCCACACTGAGGCAGAAACAGGCCCACATAATTTCATGTGTGACACATCAATGCTAACACAGAGTGGGAGTTTTTCAATGATACCTCCTCAAGGATCTCTTTTCAAACTAACTTTCCCGTTCTTATTTAAAACGAATTCGCTAGGCACGGTGGTAAGTGCTTGCAGCCCTAACTACTTCAGTAGCAACAATAACAAAAATAATAACTCTTGGTAGAGTTCTTGCCTAGCATGTGTGTGAGACTCTGAGTTTAATCCTCAGCACCACAAACTAAACAACAACACACACACACACACACACACAATATCCATGTGAGATTTTACTAAAATAGCATTTGCATTTATGCAAACTAGAATTTCTATTCATTGTCCCCAAACTTTAATCTGCACATGTATAAACCTGCCAGGTTACCACAGAGAAGACTGAGCTCACTTTACCAACTCTGTGAAGAAATGTCCAGGCATAAGTAGAATTTTTAGGCTATTTCTTACCTCGATCCAATGACATCAAAAAGATGCTGCCAGCGATCGTTGATTTTGCTGAGTTTGTCATCGATCTCGGCCGCCCTGGTCTTGCTGCTGGCCTTCATCAGCTGGTGGCCCACCTGCTTCAACTGCAGCCTGGCATCACTGAATATGTTTATTTCTTCCATGCAGTCCTGAAAGGCACCAGAGCACAAGGCCTGAATTATTACCCAAATTCCTTCCTTCTCCAGCCACAGATAGTTCTTTCTCTCTTATGTTTTTTGGGGGTTTGTTTTTATTTTTAGACGTTGTAGTCTAAGCTGATATTGAACCCTAGGCAATACTCCTGCCTCAGTCTCCTAGTGCTGATACAGGCATGTGCCACCATACCTGACTGTAGGTACTTTCCTCTTCCTTTATTCTTGCTGTACTGAGACCTGAACTCAGGGTTTTATGCATACAAGCTCAGATTCTGCCAACGGTCCTATACTCCAGTCTCATTAGGTAGCTTCTCAAAGAAACGGTCCCTCTGTTTCCCCTCAGAGATGTCTTCTCACCTAACCTAGGAGCTGAGATTAACTGAACATATCTGACGTAGCTATTTGTCAAGGTTTCCCCAGGGCTGATAGGTGTTTTCTGTGACTGTACAAGAATGCCCTTAATACCTTTCCTGTGGAACTCGGCGACTGTTTCCATCTTAAGCCTCACTGCAGCTGGCCTCCCCTGTGACTCTCAGTAACTAGAGAAACCATCATTGGCTTGTCTTCCCAACTGATAGAAAATGACCCTCCTCAGCACCTGTACTCACTTATGATAGGCTCGCACCTCACATCTTTTCCAATTCTTCCTTCAGAATGCTCAGAAATAGGATGAGGAGGCCCCTGAAAATTCTAAATTTGCCATTGGAAATACCCATATGTGACATTACAGCTCTTGTGAGCCTGGCAGAAGCCTAAGACCATCCCAACTGAACCCGTTTGGGCACCCTGCTCACCTTCTGTAACTTTTCAATCATTTCTTCAATGCTGATGTCTGCCGTCTGTAGAACTTTGTTTTCCATCTGCACCAGCCATGCACACAGGTCTTTATTTTTTTCATTGAACACGACCCATGAATTGAGTCTGTCTTCAATCTCCTGCTTGCGGACAGCCACCTGGGTATGAAATGCATTTGGCAGCTGAGAGCAGTGATGACTTCTCCCCACCAAAAAGTGAGTGTGGATTTCATTCATGTTCAGTGTCTCTATCTTAAATCTGCTTCCTCTTAAAACCTAAGACTCTGCATCAACAAAAGTTTTTTACATCTTTGGTAACTACCATAAAAACTAACAAAACACTGTACTCAGTTGAAAGGATGGAGTTTTATACTTGGTATAGATATGATCAGTCCATACTAAAAATCAAAAATAAGAAAGGTTACATAAATACAGACATCCCACCCAACTTTCTTTTATTCCTTGTTCTTTCAATATAATAGATTCACTAACTGCTTGTGATATGCTAACTATGACCCCCAACTTTTCTCTCCAAAAAACTGATCAAGTGATTATATTTATATAAGGCCAATGGCCTGCCTATTTAATTTTAAAAGTATAATACAGATCACGACATTTAAAAAGCAACCATTTTAATGCAAATAGACCAGAAAACATAAAAGTCATATAAGTGTTTCAGTGTTTAAACAAAGTAAAATAAAACTAAAAACAATGTGTTTAATCTACCTTCCCATTACCCACTGCAACTTTTGTCTGAAACCAAAAAAATGTCACTAAAAATTGGTCTGCAGGAAGCAGGCTGACCCCAACACACCCAGTGCATCATGTACAAGAAATCCCTAAGCTAATGTCAGCCAAGGATCTGCCTCCTTAGATGGTTACAATTTACCACTTAAATAAATGTTACTCTTAGATAATACAGTCTTACTAAATGTCCAAGAATTCTCAGGTTTTAAAAAAAACCTTTAAACTCTTAGAGCTAAAAGGGGGTGGCTAAGAGTTCTTTGGTAGTTCTGACACCCTGCTTTATAGGGCATGAAAAGAAGGCTGAACTCCGAGTAATTTTCTCACAATGTGCGAAACAACTTCTTCTCTTCTCAGAGTGAAGTAAAAACACCAAATGGTTCTGTATCCTGTGAGGCCAAATGCATTAAAAAGGCTTGAGAATCTATGCCTAGAAAAACAAGCGTTTTGCTTCCATTCCTCCAGCATCTATTTATCTTAGCTTTGAAAATCCCTGGTATTTTGTGCTGGGATAGGGTCCACAATGGTAACAATTAGGACCATCTGGAGCACAGTCTGAGTCTTCCTCAACTTTCAGAATACTTTTCACAGATTCTGAGCATTTTCTTTCACATAAAAACACGACTAAGAAAATTTTAATAGACACTTAAAATTAGAGTACACTGTCATTATTAAATACTAAAATCAAGTTTTTGATAAAGTGTTTCTAACTTTAAGATGTATTCAAAAGTGTCTTTTAAAGTGTCAAAATTCATTCACAGAAAATGAGATTAAAGAATTTATTTTTCCCTGATAATTATGTGTTCTTAAAACAAGGATCTTTTAGACTAATTGAAGCCTTTAACTCCATCTTGATCCTGTTTCTGACTTGAACTGTTTAATGCTCTAAACACAATCCCATCCTTAGCAAGCATGAGTGATCGCTGAGATCCTAGGGCTAGTCAGCTGCTGCTTTCAGAATTCAAAAAACTGACCCCTTGAGCTAAACATAGGATTTCACAGGAAGCCTAGTTCTCAGATAAATGTGCCCATGCCTCCTGGCACCAAGACCCTGCTGTTTCACCCAGGAGAAATATACAGAGGCATCAAAGAGATCTCTAATAGGCTGATTAGCACTTGTCATTTAAGCAAGTGACCTAGGAAACTCCCGAACATCGCCTGACCTTTGGGGCTTGTGTCCCTGCTTAAGGTGAGCTTCAAAAAAAGCTCATTGGAAGAGTGCAAAGTTACACAGTGAGTGCTGATGAAACAAAGAGGTCAACTCCATTGAAAGGGTTGCTGCTTCTTAAAGGAACAGAGAGTCCAGGGGGTCCTGGTACAAAGGGCTTCCACTTCAAACCCCATATCCTTTGCACTTTGCCTTAGGGACATTTCAATCTATTCCCAAGCTTTGGGCACGTGCAACAGACTGACTTACTCTGAGGCAGAGGTCCTCCCATTGTCTGTGCAAATGCTCAATCTGTTCCTGCAGAACCATCACGTCCTCCGCCAGGATGTGCCGGCTTAAGTCGGCCTTCATAGTTTGAAGTTCTTTCAAGTTCTGTGTCCAGTTAGCCAAAGACTTCTCTAGTTCCTGTATTTAAACACAAGAAGATGGGAAACCGCCTTGACTCCAGCCGCTGTTTCCAAACCTGTAGGCTAATCCTTTGATTAGGCTCTGGGGGAGGGGAGGCTGGGAAGGGGAGGGACCTTTGGAATGAGAAACAGCCACAGTCAGGCCTGGCCTGTTCCCAGTACCTTTCTCTCAAAGGGACAGCCTTTGCACCCTGTCATCCTCAATCTCTCAGGGAGCTCCAATTTTCATAAAGTCATTCGGTTTGACAGTTACACACATCTTTACCTTTATTTAGAGGACAGAGTATTTAGAGTCTAAGAAAAATAATTTTACACATACAGTTTAAATCCAGAAACTGTGTAAGAGGTCGGCTGGAGAAAGTGATTTACACTTAGAAAAATATCCGAGGAGTGCATTTCTGCCACAGTGGCCCTCATACAATGACAGCTTCTGTTCAAAGGGAGTCAAAGAAAAAGATTGCTTGCTAATAACTGGTAGCGATTAATTAGCAGGTACTTTCCTCTGCCATGGAAACTACCTTTCTTCTTTATTTATTCTTCATCCAGTCATTCTCAGGAGATCAACCCAGGGCCTCATACAGGCTAAACACTCTACCACTGAGCTATACCCAGCTCCAACACATCTTTATTTACTTTTTATTTATTTATTTTTTGGTCTTTTTGAGACACTATGTAGACCAGGCTGGCCTTGAATTCACAGAGATCTGCCTGCTTCTGCCTCCCTGAGTGCTGGGATAAAAGGCATGCGCCACCACGTCTGGCTCCAACACATCTTTAAAATGAAGTGTTTTTCAAATTGAAACTCTGAGTTCTAGCAGTTAATCAAGAAAATTCCTGTCATTAGAAGTTGGAGAGATGGCTCAGCAGTTAAGAGCACTGGCTATTCTTGCAGAGGACCAGGATTCGATTCTCAGGACCCACATGGTGGCTAACAACCATTTGTAACTCCAGTTCCAGGGGATCTGACACCGTCTTCCTGGCCTCTGTGGGCACTACACAACATGGGTGCACTTATATACATGAAAGCAATACACATACACATAAAATAATAACGTTTTAAAAAATCTTAAAAAAGAGAAGAAAGAAAATTCCTTTCAAAGGAGAGAAAAGAAATACCCAAACACTCCAGAGCCCTTCAGGTTTTCATTATGCTTATGAGCCCTCCCATGTAGGTCTCTGCTCTTATCCTTCAGTTGAATCTGAAGATGACATTATGTTATTACACTATAAACCAGTGATAAGTGTACAAAAAAAATGTGCTAATTCTGCTTTATATTTTTTCAAAGTTCTAAAAGCTAACAAGAACTTATGTTTCACAGAATGGCCCAGAGCAATCTTTAAAAGGTTGCACAGAAAGTAAGAAATGGGGCTGGAGAGATGGCTCAGCAATTAAGATTGCTTACTGCTCTTGCAGAGGACCTGGGTTCGAGTCCCAGCACCTACATGGCAGTTAACAGCTGTCTGTAACTCCAGTTCCAGGGGATCCGACACCCTCTTATGGCCTTGGTGGGTACTGCACACATGTGGTGCACTTATACACATGCAGGTAAAACACTCCTATACATGAAATAAAAAAAAAATTTTTTTAAGTAAGAAAGAAATGGCAGCTCTATCAGGAAGCTTGACTGAATCTTTGTTCTTTGGTTTAGAGCCATGAGTCCAGTACAGTGACTGGATTCTGTGGCTGAATAGAGCTTGGAAGGCTGCCTATCATACAGGGGCAACTCACAGGCCCAGGTATCCTACTCACTAACTTAAGTACACAGGTGATGTGAGTGCTTGTGATTCACAGCCAGGCTTAAACAGACACTTGCAATACCTACAACTGAAAAGTGTAGTTTTGAATACGGACGTTTCTGACTTTTGCATATACTCTGGCTTCTCTTCAGATCATAAATCTCCTACGTTTTACCATGGCTTGTGTGTTTGTGAATGTGCATGTACATATGTTTAGGTGTACCCTGCACATGTGTGTGAATGCAGGCAGAAGCCAGGGGATGACTTCAAGTATCTTTTTTCAGGAGCACTTTGTTTTTTGAGATAGGGTCTTTCACTGGCCTGAGGCTCACCAATTAGGATAGGCAGGCTGGCTGGCCAGTGAGCACCAGGGACGCACCTATCTCTACCTTCTCAGTGCTGGGATTGCCAGTGTGAGTCACCACACCTGGCTTTCTCACATGGGTTTTGGGGATTAAACCCAGGTCTTCATGCTTGCATGGAAAGCACTTTACTGACTGAACTATATATTCAACCCCTTCTATGATTTTTTAAAAAATATATTTTAAAATTTATTTATTTATTTATTTATTTATTTTTAGGTCTTTTTGAGACAGGGTCTCCCTGTAGCCCCAGCTGACCTGAAACTTGCTATGCAGACCAGGCTGGCCTTGAACTCACAGAGATCCGCCTGCCTCTGCCTCCTAAGCACTGGGATTAAAGGCGTATGCCACCATGCCCAGCTAATTATTTTTATTTTATGTGTTAGAGTGTATTGCCTGCATGTATGTAAGTGCAGGTCTGTTATGCAATGCCTGCAGAGGTCAGAAGAGGGCACGGATCCCCTGGAACTCAGTTATGGACAGTTGTTAGTTGCTATGTGGGTGCTGGGAATTGAACCCTAGTTCAAGAGCAGTCAGTGCTCGTAACCTCTAAGTCACTTCTCCAACCCCCTTCTATGATTTTTTTTAATATTGCCAAACTGTGTCCTCAAAGGAATGAGTACATTTCTTGTTTTTTGATTGACTGATTTTATTTTTATATTTATTATTTTTATTTTATGTGTATGAGTGTATTGCCTGCATGTAAGTGCACCCGTGTCGTGCAGTGCCCAAGGAGGACAGAAGAGACTGTTGGATCCCCTTTAAGGATGGTTCATAGCCACCATGTGGGTGCTGGGAATTGAACCAGATCCTCTGCAAGAGCAGCCAGTGCTCTTAACTGCTGAGCCATCTCTCCAGCCCCTGATTGATTTTATTTTTATGAATATGAATGCTATACCTGCATGTAAATAAGTGCACCTGTGTTGTGCAAAGCCCACAGAGATAAAAAGAGGGCGTCAGATCCCCTGGAAATGGAGTTATGGACAGTGGTTAGTTACTATGTAGGTGCTGGGATTTGAACTCAGGTCTTCTGTAAGAACAGCCAGTTCTCTTAACTGCTGAGCGATCTCTCCTGCCCCATGACTACATTTCTTATCTGTATGCTTTTTGGTGTTGAGTTTTATATATTTGGATATATGGAATGATAACTATTCTTTAAATTTGTATTTGTAAATTATTAACCTAGAATGCTACCAGTCCTTCTAATGTTTCCACAAAACATTTATTAATCCCCATTGAGCCCATTACATCTCAGATACAAAGGTAATTCATCAGGTGCGTCTTCTCAGTCATAAGACAAGGTTTTTGTTGTTGTTACTGTTTTGTTCTTTTGTGGCTGGTGATTGAGCCCTGGCCTTATGCTAGGTAAGCACTCTGAGCTGTATCTCCAGCCTGAGACCTCTGCTTTAAGATCTCATTGTCAGTTTCTGTCCTTTCTCACTGTAATATTTACACACACACACGCACACACACGGTGTAGCTATGTGGTTAGCATGTGAATTTCCAGTAGACTGTACTGTTGGTATGGCAGGGACTGTAACAATACTGCTCATGAATGCACTGTCCAGCTCCTGTCACATGCCAGCTGCATACTGAATCCTCAGAAAATGTCTGAATGAAAAGAAAGCAGTTAGTGTGTATAAACAACTCTATGTTTTGTTTGTTTTTCCAATCCTGGGGACTGAACAACTCAGAGCTTCATGCATGCTGGACAAACATTCTACTACTGAGCTATACATTCCCAGACCAAGAGCTTTCTTTATGGAGTTAGTTTGGGGGATGGAGGTCAGGTCTTGGTATGTACTTCTGACTCGCCTGATATTCAAAAAGTATCTCAGGCTGGGCTTGAATTCATGGTAGTCCGACTGCTTCAGTGTCCTGAGCTGGTATTAGAAGGTGTGCACCACCATACATGGTTGAGAACTTTAAAATGTTCATAAACGTTAAGTAAAAAAACAAAACAAAAACCAAGGGATCAAACAATATACAGGGAGGTCTACTGTGGCAGCTTACTACAGCTGATGATCACTTTTAGTGTTCCAAAAACCATTCCTTAGATCTGGGAATGTACCTCAGGGGCAGAGTGCAAGCCTAGCATGCACCAGTTCTTGGGTTCATCCTTTTGAAAAAACAACCAACAAACCAACCAACCAACCAAAGAATGCGATGTAAGACTTCAGGTTGCTTGCACACTGTTAGGCTTTGGCTGGCTTCCCCATAACATAAGACATTATAAGCCTTTGCCAATATCAGTCCATAGTGAGACTGTCAAGATCCACACATCTATATAGCCATTTGAGTAAAAAGTGGAATAAAAGGGGCTAGAGAGATGACTCAGTTGGTTAGGTGCTTGCTGTGCAAGTGTGAGGCCCTGAGTTCTATCCCCAGCATCCATGTGAGAAAGCCAGGCATGGTGCCGAATGCCTCTAATCCCAGCACCAAGGAGGTGCAAACAAGAGGATCCCTGGGGCTCACTGGCTAGCCAACCTAGTTGAATCATTGAGCTCCAGGTTCAGTGAGAGACTTTGTCTCAAAAGTAAAGTAAAATAAAATAAAGTGAAGAGGTATTGAGTTAGGAAACTCAATATCACTTCTAGTCTCCACATATACACATATATGAATACACACATGAATACACATAAATGGACATATATACATATATGCACAAAAGGGACAAGATGAATACATATACATACGCATATGCTTGTAATGTGTAGATCATCTTTGAAAGAACACTGAAGAAAGCAGTAACATTGATTGCTTTTGTAGAAAAGAATGGATAGGAGCATCATTTTCATATACACCTTAGGAACAAGCCTTCTTAGTTTCGATCCATGTGACTATGATTAAAAACTTATTTAAAAATTAAAACTGGGCCAGACCTTAGCAGAAAGCCTGA